TCACCAATTTCAGCCTTCGTTTCAGACATTGTCATGGATGATCTGGAAACTGATTGTTTAACAAAATTAAAGGAGGAGCACAATTGTGTCCCCCTTTTTTATTTTAGATATGTTGATGACACAATATTAGCTGTAGAAAAAGAACATGTCAACTTAGTCATCAATACTTTTAATGCTTACAATCAAAAATTACAATTTACTATGGAGAAAGAAAAGGATAACTCAATTAATTTTCTTGATTTAAAACTTACTAGAAAAAACAACAAAATTGTCACAAATTGGTATCAAAAGCCGACTTCATCGGATAGACTCATTAATTATTTTTCAGATCATCCAATCCAACAAAAAAAGAATATTGTATACAATCTGGTTGATAGAGCGATTTCATTGTCCAACAAAGAGTTTCATTTTGATAACTTAAAGAAGATAAGATCCATCTTAAAAAACAATAACTATCCTTTGGATTTTATTGATAAACATATAAAAATTCGTATAAGCCATATAAAATTTTCTCAGGTTAATAATAATAATAACAATAATCGAAATAAAATTAGTATTTACAGTCAAATCCCGAAGGTTTGTTTACCGTTCAATGAAAAATGTTTCTTTAAGTTGTCAAATATTCTCAAAGAGTTTCATTTTACTGCGATCCCACTTATTAATAAAAACTCCAATTCTATAATTAGACTTGGTAAAGATTCATCTAAAAAATGGGACAGAACAAATGTTGTATACAAGTTTGACCAGCAACATATATAGGTGAAACAAAACGATCATTGTTAACTCGCATAAATGAACATAAAAAAGTAAATGATAACTCTGTAGTTTACCGCCATCGAATTAATTGTAATCATGACTTCGATTGGGAAAATGCCAAAATTTTGGACAATGAACCAAATTTTATAAAACGACGAATATCTGAAATGATCCATATAAAAACAAATCATTCCACTATTAATAGAAAGGAAGATATTTTCACTCTAAACAGAACTTTTTTTCCTCTTCTCAGACGTTTAGACTCTTGTCTATAATGACACAACAATAACACAACTTGCTCCCTCTATGATGAAACTGTGTTTACATTCGGTTTATTGACTTTTTCTTTATCTTGATTCTTTTGACTTTCTCGAAATAGCAAATTTTTAATTTATTTCAGTTGACACTGAACTAGTGTGCTGAAATGTCTTCCTCTCATATGAAGAAACTTTTCTTTATTAATACATGTGGAAATTTTTATAAAAAAATATTTTTTCTCTATGAAATCTTTTTTATTTTGACGAGTTAGAACGCGATTTTTATGTTTTAACGAACTTGGTAGGATATTCTTTAAACATATTTTTAGTATAGTGTATAGTGTTGTTTTAAACCTTTATAAATATTGAAGTGTTTTTCTGTTTAAATAAATTTAGCCTGATGAGGTTGGCAAACCTTTGCCAACGAAACGTCGCAATTTTGACGATACATTGAATTTTTTCAATTCTTCACCTTCCCATGATCATTTATTCTACTACTAACAATTAAACTATGGAAGGATTTAACGCTTATCACTCAAATATGAAGTTTAATTTTAAAAATTCAAAATGGCTGTTCCAATATGGCGGATAAAAATTTTTGAAAATCGATAAAATTGCATGAAATTACTCACTCGTGGGTTTTTGGGGTCGCTGATTACGAATATAAAGTTTAATTTTGAAAATTTAAAATGGTGAATGTAATATGGCGGGTAAATTTTTTTTTAAATAGATAAAATTGCATTTAATTACTTACTCGGGGGTTTTCGGGGTCGATGATTACTCTCAGCACGTGGAGGTCGACTAATTTTAATGTTATAAAAAAATTTTAAATAAAATATAGAAACAGTTAAAAACATAAAAAAATTTAAAAATGAAAAAGTAGGGTGATGTGGAGTGATGTGAAACATGGGGGGATGTGCAACACCGCCGATTTCTGATCTATATTTCGATATTGAACAGAGCCAAGTATTGCTATTTGTTTGTATCCTCAGTAGCTTGTTTTTGATATAAAACTCACGAGACAGCTCGCAGCCAGGTTTGATGTACGTAAGTTGACTTGAATTTCTCGGGAAGGAAATATTTCTCGCGCTTTACATTTCTAGTCGTTTCGTGAAGGGTTTTAATTTATTTTATAGATAAGAATGTGCTTATTGTTGCTTTTTTAAGTGTTTTTCAATATCTTTTTATATTTTGTGTTTCCATTGCATTGTATTGCGTACAAATCATTTTTCGCAAAATATCATATTTGGGGTGATGTGCAACACTTTTTTTCTATTATAATGCCTCTAAGTCATTCAATTTTGAAATATTTAAAAATTTAAATATTTGACATGTTTTTCGTCCAACGAGAAAAAACGTTGCACATCACCCCACAACACCCTACAACAAAATTAAAAAATTAAAAAATACAAAAAATATTTAAAAATTGTTCAAAAAATTTTTTAAAAAAGAAGACAAAGTTAAGAAACTTTGTCGAACTCCACGTAGTGAGAGTTGGGCAACTCCAGAAAAACGTGACGGTAACAAACAAAATAAAATCTTCAAAACAACTAGAAATTTATGAATTTGTAGTATTCAATTTTTAAAATTGCACTTTTAAAATTCGTAATCAGCGACCCCGAAAACCCCCGAGTAAGTAATTCCATGCAATTTTATCTATTTTAAAAAAATTTTATCCGCCAAATTGGATCCGCCATTTGGAATTTTCAAGTTGTCAAGTACACAGTTCGAAAGTACACCTATTTTATCCACCTATAGCATACATGAGACCCGTCCAAAAAAATCTTATTGATGTGAAAAGCGTGTTTCAAAAAAAAACCTTACGATTTTTTCGGTAATTTCTCGATTTTGGGCGCCATATTGGTTTCCCTGATGGTCGAAATGCTTTTTTGACCCCGAAATCTAAAAGAGCGGACCCTAATACCCCTTAGTACCGACGGGTTTTAAAAAGTCTAATCATTTAGGATAAAAATTCTTACCTTGAAATTCAGTCAAAAATTTTGGACATTTGGGCGTTAATGGGTTAATAATGTGAAATGAAATATAGATTTAAACAATAAATAATAATTTCATAACAAATAAATAAATAACTTGATTTGTTAAAAATAAGTTATAAATAAAAGTACGAAAACTCTAAAAACATTTTTTTTTAATAATAAATTCAATTGAAATTGTAATACTTTATAAAGTCTTTAATATTGTTAATAATATTGGTTAATTAATTCTTTATATATTAAAAAGGATAATAATTTGCAGCAAAGAGAAATAAAAAGAGATAAAAGTATATAGGTATAAAAAGAGAAAGATATAACGAGATAATAGGGTATAAAAAGGGATAGAAATTTGGAGATAAAAAGGTATAATATTTTGGGTAGGTATGCAAAGTGACTATTTCATAGGGATAGAAAAATCTTTATCTCTTTTTATCTCCAAAATTCTATCTTTTTACTTCCAGTAGGGATTGCAAATTTTAAAAAAGTGTTTAATTGTTCTTTTTAGGTTGATATACATAATGATGCGTAATTATATACGGAAAACGAAGCTTATTTACTAAGAAATTGGTGGTCGTCTAAAGAAAATTGGTTAAACCTCTGATTCTAGTTCAGATGAATTTAAATACAATAATTGCAATTCAGAAAATGTTCAATACATATTTATAATACTTGAGATAATAATATTCAATAGTCTAAATCCAATAAAATAAAGAAAACGAAAATTTACTGATTTTCTATAACATTTTTAGCAGTCGAATTCTTTTAACTATCCTTACCCGGGTGCTGGGGCAAGGATAGTTAACATTTTTTTTTACTTTTTCATTCGTATCTCGTAGGAATTTGAGTCTACAGTAAAATAATGTATAGCAAAATTATAGCCAAATAACCAAGCTTTCCAAAAATACTTTTCGTTTGCAGATACATATTCAAGTTTGGCCGCTAGATCCGAAAAGCGTAAGCCTACCTATCCTTGCCCCATCCTCCCCTATACATGGAATAAAAATAAATGTCGAATCGAGATTAGAAATTTGTTTATAACATTTATTTAAGAATTTTGTTATTAATAAAAAATTTAATATTATATATCAAATCAAATTCGTATTTTTGTCTCCAAGTGCTACAAGCAGGGTCTCTACTAAGTCGTATTAACCGAGTTCTGCTGTAATTATAAATTCACTAATAAAATATATTTGCATAATTAATAAAAAGTATAATAAATTAATAATAAATAAAAATGTATAAAAATTTGATAAAATAATTTTTAAATGCTTCTTTTTAACTTCTTGGTAAAAACTAAACAAACAATTTTCCTTTAATTTCTTTATTCTTCGCTTTTATATTATTATTATTACACGGAGAGAAGCCCTGCTGAAAGTATATGGATACGAATTCTATCCAATTTAATATTTTTAAATCCAAAAGATTAATAAAGATAGATTATTTCTATCTTATTTTATTCGTGTCATTCCTGTTTTATTCTAAAGTTATCCATGACAATCCATATGTATCCTTCTTTTCATCCACATAAATTTGTATACAAATAAATCTCAAGAATGTTATCCAAACCAATCATAACACTATCTATTCAATCCTTTAAAATTTAATCAATCACTATTTATCTTAACTTTTCTATCCAAATTTATTCTGGTTTTTTCTTTGTTAATCTCTTGTAATCCCTACATTTATCCATTGTATTTCACATCCATACGAATCACTTAAATTCTATCTTAATCAATCATTTCTTTACCTCTTTCAATCAAAGAGGAAACCATTCTTTCTTAATCATATTTTTTATCAAACATAATCTATTTTAAATAATCTTCAACATTTTCTATTTCATGATCTAGTTAGAGTTTTATATCTTGTGACGTGAATAATTTGGCACGTTACGTCCGATATAGAGAAATATAGAAGTAAATAAAATAACGTTCCTTTCGGACACTTCGTTGCGCAAGTCTCAGCTCCTCAATTCGATCTTGTAAAATTATAAGGTTTATTTTGCGTTTTGTTTACTGCTTTTATTTTTTTTATATTGCGACGAGCCATTCTTGGATTCTATGTTACTTCGAGATGAGGAAAAACTGTTTTTCAAATTGGGATGTCTCTGGGATCGTTTTCCCATGGCTTCTAATATTTCGGCTTCTAGGGGAGGAGCCTCTGTTAGTTTTGCCAACTCCGATGCTGGATTTTTCGAAGCACTAGAATCAATGAGGTTAGATCCACTGGGAACATCAGTTTCCTTTTCTGTTTGTTTGTCAAATTGAGTCGCATTATACTTTGGAGGGATCTGTTGGTTAGATGCATTTGAAGACCCATTGCCGCCTAGAGATAATTCAGGTGCACCAGTTTCAGTTGTGAAATCACTTTGTGTTTGTCCCGTGAAATGAGGTGTATATGATCTTGATGACGAATGCCTCGAAGGAGATCTAGAAGAATCTTTTGTTCTCTTGGAACGTGATCGACTTCTTTCCCGTGAGCGAGACCAAGATCTACTTCTCGAAGAATAATACGACGACTGGCTTCTACCTACACAGAGATAAACGACGCAATAATGAAATTTAATTATATTTTAGAAAAGTTTTTTTTTTTTTTTTAAGAATAATCAGTACTTGACTGAATACACCAAGGTAATACAAATTTATTAATCATCTCGACTAATAAAAAATTGTTGTGCTTGACAACATTTTTTGAATGGCATAGAAAACATTGTTTTCTTTGGAACTTGTCCATATAACTTAGGTGTCAAAAACGTTACTTGAACGTTGTGTCTTTCGACTGACCCTTTTTGCCTATTTCATATAAATTTGACTGCTGATATCGTGTCGAACGTTGTTCGTCTCGTATCAGGTCTGTGAAAAGGTAAAGACGCCATGACAGCTTAAGGAATCGTACTTACGTTTTCGCTTTAATCGATGAATTTCCTTATCTTGCTCCTTTAATTTTTCGTTTATTAGACGAAGCTCCTTCAGTATTTGATCGTCCTTATCTTCCCGAGAGTGTTTTTTATGTTTTCCTATTGTAATATTTAAAAGAAACACACAGTTCAAAAACCAACGTGGCTTCCCTTGTGGCACAAGGAAAAGGAATGAAACCGGACCTTATTCCGCGGACTATGTACACGTATGTACACGTATGTACTGTGTGGGGAATTAGTTATTTGAATTTCCCTCTCGAACCCCTCCAGCGAGGAGTGGGGATTGTGTGAATGTACATGTGTGTGCTTGGCTATGGCCATTACTGTTTTCGGAGTCTCGAGACTAAGTTGTCGTATACATAAGTTTATATGTAAATCAGATTGATATAATAAATTATATTTGAGTTTTATAATTATATTTAATAATTAATCCCGAACACAAAAGGGATATATACAATAATTGAATTGTGTAACCATATCCCACAATTGGTGACCCCGACGTGATCGGGATGACATCGGATTTTCAATCTACCTTAATCTAAGTTGCTAAGTGCAATCCGATTCTTAGTTCAATTGTTTTTGAAACAAAAAAATTTTTCTATTAATTTGGTTACAAAATTTACGACTTTCTCATAATAAAAACTGTGAATTTTTCGACTCATAAATACGACCACATGTTGCAATGAGGACCGCCATTTTTGTATGTGCGACAAGACGACAACCTTCATCAGGAGTTCTCCACATTTGTTGAATCCTGAGAGATTTTATTCGACCGATTCAGTTTTGGAAAACATCGAATCTTAATTACGACAAAATTTGAAACGCACTTGTTCGTATGAACGAGGTTCCTGACTACATGGTTGAACGAGACAGCATCGAGCCGTCGACTCGGAACTGGAGACAGTCACTCATCTTCGAGGAATTTCTGATTGAGTTCCTGATGGTATCGTTCACGTTTTTGGACATATTTTGGTGAGATAGCTGCTCAATTTTTTTTCCGCTTTTTGAAAACGGCGCATGGGCACTCACTACTCTGAGCCCATGCAGCAGGTGCGTAACGCATATTAACCTGTTTTTAGCAATATAGCAGTTTTCACTTTCCTCTCCCTTATGATTTCTCCTCTTTCATGAAAATTTCCTGTTGACGTCTGCTGTTCACAATATCTGGAGGTTTTCCCGGGGACCTTGCCGAGAATTTTTCTACATTCTCAACACCAACCGATGATTAATACCAGACAACACAATGGATTTTTTCATCATCATTAAAGGACATATCAATACGAGTAAGGAGTATGCAGCTTATGGGACCATCATCTTCGGCATTTGCGTATTATTTTATTTAATGTTTGTGAGTATGTATGTTTTTTCGTGAAAAGTCCCGTGATTTTTTTTCTTATTTTCTGACGAGATTTCGATCGAGAAAAATTTCTTTTCAAAACGCAATTTTACCTTCGTACAAATTCTGTAGTTTCAAAATTTTATTTCGAGTTAATTTAAATATAAATAAATTTTTGTTTCGGATTTCAATACGTATAATATTTGTGTTTGAATTTAAACATTGACTGCTTTGTTTTGAGACGATCAATTTATTTGAAAGTTTAACCTTTCATGGCAGTGTTGATGTTTTCATTTTAAATGCTTGTGAAATAATCATTGATAATTATTTTCGCGTTGAAATTTTACCTTCGAAGTATTTTTGTCATTTGTCTTACGAAATTATTTTTATTTAAAAAATTTTTTTATTTAAAGTGTGACACGACAGAATTTAAAAAAGAAAAAAATTCTTTTACGCGTTCGATTGTCAGAATTGTTTCATTCTTTTTGAATATTATTCTCGTTTTATTTAAAAGCGAAAGATTTTTAGAAGGATTTTGTTCGTAACAAACATTTTCGAATTTTCGTATTTTTCTTTTTTTAAATGTGAGGAGGATTATCGATTGCATATTTGAATATACATTTTCTCATATTTATTTTTACAATGACCGATAACAATCAAAGCGTGGACCCAAATGCTATCCTGGGCGCGGGGGAAGTTCATGACCCGCAGGTGCAGGTTCCGAATCGAGGTCATGTTGATGCTAATTATCGCATTCCTAAACTTCATAGTTTTTTTCGTAACGAACCAAAATTATGGTTTGCTCAGATCGAGCTTATGTTTGAATATTCACATCTCGTTTCTGAAAGAGCTCGAGCTGGCGCTGTTATGGCCGCTTTGGAGTGCAATGTCATTCAAACTATCGGAGATTTGATAACGTCGACTGAACCTATTCCGGATCTTTATACAAAGATCAAAAATAGATTAATTGAAAGTTATTCTCAATCCCCCGAAAGTGAACTTCGAACAATTCTAAAGGGAGAAATTTTGAGTGACGGAAAGCCTTCGGTGATTTTGGGTAGAATTCGACATTTGAGCCGTAATCGTTGTAGTGACGAAGTCATCCGCGCGATTTTCATTGAACAGCTCCCAGCGAATTGTCGTGCTATTCTCGCCATGTCTGAAACTAGTGATCTTGCAAAACTTGCCATAATCGCAGATAGAATCGTGGACGTCGGGGGTTGGTCGTCAACTGCGGTAACATTGGTTGATAGGCGCGATGATCTTAATTCTAAAATTGACGAATTAACTAGTCGAATTGAGTCTCTTGCAATCGAAACTCACAGAGAATCGCGTAATTACAATCGAGATCATTCAAGATCTCGATCTCGTCACCGATCTATGTCAAGAAATCCCAACGAAAACAATAATAAAAATAAACCAGGTAATAAGAACGATAACGATAAGAAATGTTTTTATCATAAAAAATTCGGCAACGACGCATTAAAATGCAGACCACCTTGCTCGTTTAAAAAAAATAAATACACCACCTCACACAGACAAGGTTGATATAAATTACGATTCGAAACGCCTTTTTATAAGAGATAGAAAAACTGGAATGGTATTCCTTATTGATTCTGGTTCTGATATTTCATTGATTCCTGCCGATCACCAAACCAGAAAACGACCTGTCAAATCCGTACTTTATGCAGCGAACAGTTCGCTCATAAATGCGTATGGTCAGCGTCGTCTTTCGTTAAAAATTGGTCTTCGTCGATCGGTTTCGTGGAATTTTTGTATAGCATCGGTACCCTATCCGATAATCGGGGCCGATCTATTATCGGCACACGGATTAAATATTGATCTTCGTAATCGCAGATTGGTTGACTCTCAGGACGGAGTTGAGACAATCTGTGATTTTAGAGTAGCTCCCTGTTCTGGGGTGAGTGTGGTTAACATATCAACATCGTACTCGAAAATTATCGCAGAATTTCCATCAATTACCGGTTTACCTCAAGCGGATAAAATATTGTCGACCGGTGTAATGCATCATATCATCACAAACGGTATACCCGTAGCTGAGAAGGCTCGCCGGTTATCACCTGAAAAACTCATTTATGCTAAAAATTTTTTTCAATCCGCAATTAAATCCGGAATATGTCGCGCTTCTAGTGCATCGTGGGCGTCGCCAATTCATATGACTTTAAAAAAAGACGGAGAGTGGAGAATATGTGGGGATTACCGTCGCGTTAATTCTAAAGCCGAACCGGATAAATACCCGGTACCTCACATTCAAGACGTATCAGCGATTCTTTTCGGCAAAACGATATTTTCGAAGTTGGATTTAGAGGCCGCATACAATCAAATTCCCATAGCGCCCGAAGATATTCCTAAGTCGGCCGTTATAACACCTTTTGGCCTTTTTGAATATACGGTTATGACATACGGTTTGAGAAACGCGGGCCAGACGTTTCAGCGATATATTTTTAAAGTTCTGGGAGATCTTGATTTCGTGTTCGCGTACGTCGATGATGTACTCATCGCTTCCTCAAGCGTGGAGGAGCATGAAAAACATCTGAGAATTGTCTTTGATAGACTCCATAAAGCATTTCTTCACGTGAATTTAAAAAAATGTTCTTTCGGTCAAGCGGAGATGGAATTTTTTGGATTTTTGATTAATAAGGACGGAATTTAACCCCTACCAGAGAAAGTTAAGGCAATTCTTGAGTTTCCGAAACCTCAGACCATTGTTAAGCTTAGACGATTTTTGGGACTTATGAATTTCTATCGTAGAAATTTACCAAATGCGGCGCGCGATCAGGGACCTTTAAACGATTTTTTGCATGAGTCAAAGAAAAATGATAATAGAAAAATTCCATGGGATCCTGTCTCGGAGAAGGCTTTCGAGGATTGTCGTCGGAGTATTGCTGATGCCGCTCTTCTCGCGCATCCCGCACTTAATGACCCAATTCGTGTTGTGACGGACGCGTCAGATTACGGAATGGGCGCTGCCCTTGAACAATCTCAGAACGGTATTTGGTCTCTATTGGCATTTTTTTCTCGACGATTTAGTGACACTCAAAAGCGTTATAGTAAGGGAAGTGTTCCGGTTGTGGGCACCCTTTTGTTTTTGCCTCATAACATTTGTCCATGTGCATATTATACAAATATATGTGTACGAATTTAAAGCTAGAGGTCTAAGGTGACTGTCAGTGAAGGAATTAAATTGATTCCTTTAAATAAAAAAGTTTTATTAGAAATTTAGTGAAATGGGAATTTTTTGACAAAAAAAATTTTGTACCCGGTTGTGGGCACCCTTGAAAAATCCGCTAAAAAGGGAAAAATATTAAAGGAAACCAACACAAATAAAGAAGAAATGAAAGTTTCTTTATTTTAAGAGAATTTGCTGGGATAAAGAACAAAAATGATGACACGTTTTCACACTATGCTCATAGCTAACAAAAGCATAATGCTTGCATGTGAAGTAGCTAGTACTCATAACATAACGCACTTCTAATGCACTGAACGACTATATTCATCGCATTTAATGGAGTTTGCGGCTGTCACTTTCCTTGGCAGAAAGTTTAGACAGATGAGACAGTAGTCCTCATCATTGTCAGATGGTAGAGCCTCCTTAACATAAAGGTGCCCACAACCGGGAATGACAGTCATTTTTTAAAAAGACCAACACATTTTGTGATGCAGGATTTTGGTTAAACACGAAGGTAAATCACAAAATATAATAACAACACTGCAAAAAAAATTAAACCCTTTTTTTCTGAACGAATCTACACCCATATGTTGCTCTTCGAAAACAATACAAAATTACTTTTTTATTTATTTAATGCAAATTTTCTTTATTATGCTCACAGCTATTACACAAATGCATATATTTGTTTCGTTATCAATACGAAAAGTCCGTATTGTCAACGAACACGACTTGCAATACTTAGATCAGTAAAGTCTGCTTGCCGTCGAAGTTTACGTAGGGGTGCCCACAACCGGCGCACTTCCCCTACATATGACCGCGAGTTAACAGCAGTTTTCGAGGCAATTAAATATTTTAAGCATTTCCTTGAATACTCGAAGTTTACCGTGGTAACTGACCATAAGCCGTTAATATATGCTTTCTCTCAGAAGTCGGACAAAGCATCGTCGCGTCAACAAAGACAATTATCATTTATATCTCAATATTCAACATCTTTCGAGTATATTCCGGGAAAGGGAGTTGCCCGTAGGCAGTCGATGAGATAAGACGTGTTTACTGTTCGCTCTGTGCCAAGTTTATTTTGCGTGTATTCTCTTAACTTTTAGTTTATAACGGTTTTAAGTATTGACGTGTTTTCTAATAATTCACAAAATGACCACTAATGAGGAATTAAAAGAATTGTTAATAATTTTAAACAAGAAAATGGACTCAGTGGAAAGTGAAATAAGTGGATTAAGAAAGGACAATATTAAATTTGCAAAATCAATTGAAGAGCAATGCTTAAAATATAAAAAGTTAAAACAAGAGAATAAACAATTGGCGATTAAAGTTTCATCTTGTGAAGAAAAAATTGATTTTCTCCTAAATAGAGAGAAGGCAAAAAATATTCTTCTATTTAAAGTGAGTGACACTCCGTCTGAAAATGTAAATCTACTGGAAACGGTATTATCAATTTTCAAAAAAACAGAGGTAAATATTGAAAAAAAGGACATCTCTGATGTAAGAAGATTGGGAAAAAATGAAGGGAATCGTCCGATCC